AGGGGGAGCCACAGGAGTTGGCAATAAGGCAGTACACCCGCATGGAAGAAAAATGTATTTTAAAAATATTCTTCCCAAATATATTGATATATATTTGAAATACTACAATTTTGGCCGTATTCAATATATTTCAAAATATATTTCAATAAATATAAATAAAGATACATACTTGTGATTGGTCGTTTCTGATCATGTGACCACTGTGACAGCCAATCACAGTGGTCACAAGAGCAGAAAGCCTGCCTCCCCCTCCTGGCATTTAGGTCCTCTTAAAGGGCCAGGGGAGGCAGTGACAAGGGATTAGGAGGCTCACACTCAGCTATTGATAATGATTTCAATGACAAAAATGTAACAATTAAACATTACTACATATTTTAATTTATATTCATCTTTTAAAAAAAAAAAAATAAAGGTAGCAATGGCTCATACTCCGCAGTCATTTATTTACAATTAGTGCTCAGCAGAGTTCCTCTTTAACTGACAGTTGATTTTGGTGAGAAATAGATTTTCTGAATGTGAATTAATTACATGTTAAAAAATGTAATAAAAAAGGATACATATAAAAAAAAATTTTGAAAAAAATGAAGGACTTGTTCAAATGCACTTTTCTCTCTGAAGAGCAGTCAGCATTTGGAGAGCTCTTTAGATCAATCATGGGGAACTCTAGATGCATACTTGTGATTGGTCGTTTCTGATCATGTGACCACTGCAGCAGCCAATCACAGTGGTCACAAGAGCAGAAAGCCTGCCTCCCCCTCCTGGCATTTAGATCCTCTTAAAGGGCCAGGGGAGGCAGTGACAAGGGGTTAGGAGGCTCTCACTCAGCTATTGATAATGATTTCAATGACAAAAATGTAACAATTAAACATTATTACATATTTTAATTTATATTCATCTTTAAAAAAAAAAAAAGAAATAAAGGTAGCAATGGCTCATACTCCGCAGTCATTTATTTCCAATTAGCGCTCGGCAGAGTTCCTCTTTAACTGACAGTTAATTTTGGTGAGAAATAGATTTTCTGAATGTGAATTAATTACATGTTAAAAAATGTAATAAAAAAGGATACATTTAAAAAAAAAAAAACAAATTTGAAAAAAATTAAGGACTTGTTCAAATGTGCTTTTCTCTCTGAAGAGCAGTCAGCATTTGGAGCGCTCTGTAGATCAATTATAGGGAGCTCTAGATGCATACTTGTGATTGGTCGTTTCTGATCATGTGACCACTGTGACCAGTGGACACAAGAGCAGAAAGCCTGCCTCCCCCTCCTGGCATTTAGATCCTCTTAAAGGGCCAGGGGAGGCAGTGACAAGGGGTTAGGAGGCTCTCACTCAGCTATTGATAATGATTTCAATGACAAAAATGTAACAATTAAACATTATTACAGATTTTAATTTATATTCATCTTTAAAAAATAAATAAATAAAGGTAGCAATGGCTCATACTCCGCAGTCATTTATTTCCAATTAGCGCTCAGCAGAGTTCCTCTTTAACTGACAGTTGATTTCGTCGAGAAATAGATTTTCTGAATGTGAATTAATTACATGTTAAGTAGAAAGAAACTAGGAAGATTTGTCTTCATTAGATGGAATGGGTTTTGATGTGCGTACTGTCAGAGGAGAGAGAGTTATCATGGGAAAATGGGTAGAGGAATCTTGCCGGATACAAAGTAGAGATTAGCTGCATGTCAGTACTCGGAAAATGGAACGCCGTGGATTTGTTTAAAGCGCAATTCCACCTCGGAGCGCGTTTTTTTTGGGGAAATAAATGCAGCCTAACCGATACATCTTAACCCGTGTAATTGTTTATTTCTTGTGTCTTTTGCCTGATTTCCCCTCTCAGAAGTTTTCAGTCTGGAAAACGTTCCTGATGTAAAGAGGGATACCGTCTTGTGTTCGCTCCAGGAACACGCACAAAATTGCATGCATGTAAAAATTGTATAAAACAGAAAAGGTTTTGGCGCCATAAATAAAGGATAAATAAAAATATAAATAATAAAAAAAAACTAAAAAAAAGTCCAATAGTTTCCAGCAGAAATGAAAAATCTCTCATTAAGAAACTAAATTAAAAAAATGAAGAAAGACTATAGGAGTCCATCAACACCGTCACCTACTGTGGCATGGCGGCCATCTTGTTGGTTAGAAACATACCATTTGGGTATATGGTGACATGCTGTTTTAATTATTTTTTGATGTACGTTTAATAGTACATTGTAAAGCAATAAATCCTTCTAATTATACTACACTATGAGGATTCTTTTGCTTTTTGGATGATTTTATCCTCTTTGAGGATAATTCATTTCAACACCATCACGTCTGAAAATACTGTGGCGTGGCAGCCATCTTGTTGGTTAGAAACATACCATTTGGTCATATGGTGACATGCTGTTTTAATTATTTTTTGATGAACGTTTAATACTACGTTGTAATGCAATAAATCCTTCTAATTATACTACATTATGAGGATTCTTTTGCTTTTTGGATGATTTTGTCCTCTTTGAGGATAATTCATTTCAACAACGTCACCTCTGAAAATGATTGCTCCTTACCTGACTGAGGTGACCCCCACAATTAAGTGAGAGTCAAGAAAAGCGTAGTGCAAATTTGGATGGCGAACTCCGACATTTCTAACTCTGGAGGGATAAGCACAGGATATAGACAAACGCCTGTTGGATCTCTTTCAATGGATTCCCACATCAAGGCATTGACTCCAACTTATATTCCAGGTAATATTGCCAGATGTAGACTTGCTGTCCTTAATGAAATAGCAGACGTGGTCAGAATAGCACCAGTTGCACAGCTCCCGATGTACTCAGGACAATGTCTTTTGGCACACTGACTTATGAAGGTTGGTGCTCCATGTAATTGTGCGTGCAGCCATGTGCTGCCATCTGTTGGTGTGTTACATAACTAGTTTTTGATATCACCTCGTGTAATGTTAATTGCCTGGCTGCCATGCTTATCCATTGGTGACATGAAACAAGGTCTTGCTTGACTCTGACTTTCCCTTTCTGAATGTATGTTCTGGTTCCGTGATTTAGAAGGGCTATTGGAGAAAAAACACTTGCTATGAGAGAAACATGGAGACCATTATTGATGCCCTTGACTTCTGTCAAGCTGACCTTCTTGCTTTAATACTTTGGGTATCTGAACCAGAATCAATATGCAGATAAGGAACTCTGATTTTCCTGGTCTGCGCACTTGTTCTGGGTTTGTGACTCAGAAATGACTGAAGCCAGAGGATTAGCATGACAGGCAGCAAGCCTTTTGAGGAGGCAAAGCAATAGGTGTCTGTTTTTCTCATGCCGATTTGCCTTTCTAAGCCGTTTTACAACAGAATCATTTTTTTATTCTGGATTTTTTATTCCGTCCTTTTCTTTTAAAAGCAGCTTGTTGGGTTTTGTCCAAAAAAAGAAAATTCATGTAATTTCTATACTTTTCAAGGCTGCTACTTAGTTTTTTTTTAGCATTTTTTTGTTGTTGTTGTGGAATTGTATTGAATTCGGCCTCATTTAGAACAGCAAGATTGGAAAGTGAGAGTAAACGAGGCTTGATTATTTTCATGCTCTACAAGTGGCAGTCACAATTACTCCTCATTTCGGCCTCTTCCTTTATTTCTCAACCAGCATACCAATGGAACCCTAGGGTTCCTTCAGAAGTTGCTATGGTATTCCTCGGTCAATTAGCTTTTTCTGACTTTCAGATCTTTTCAGGTATCTGTAAGGAGGGCATTCTTCCTGATGACCACCAATATAGAAAACATTCTTAACAATGAAAGCCAACGTAAAGAGCATTCTTTCCACTGACCACCAATGTAAGGAACATTCTTCCCACTGACCACCAATGTAAGGGACATTCTTCCTACTGACCACCAATGTAAGGGACATTCTTCCCACTGATCCCCAATCTAAGGGACATTCTTCCCACTGATCACCAATGTAAGGGACATTCTTCCCACTGACCCCCAATGTAAGGGAAATTCTTCCCACTGACCACCAATGTAAGGGACATTCTTCCCACTGACCACCAATGTAAGGGACATTCTTCCTACTGACAACCAATGTAAGGGACATTCTTCCCACTGACCACCAATGTAAGGGACATTCTTCCCACTGATCCCCAATGTAAGGGACATTCTTCCTACTGATCCCCAATGTAAGGGACATTCTTCATACTGACCCCCAATGTAAGGGACATTCTTCCCACTGATCACCAATGTATGGGACATTATTCCCACTGACCCCCAATGTAAGGGACATTCTTCCTACTGACCACCAATGTAAGGGACATTCTTCCTACTGACCACCAATGTAAGGGACATTCTTCCCACTGACCCCCAATGTAAGGGACATTCTTCCCACTGACCCCCAATGTAAGGGGCATTCTTCCCACTGGCCACCAATGTAAGGGACATTCTTCCTACTGACCCCAATGTAAGGGACATTCCTCCCACTAACCACCAATGTAAAGAACATTCTTCCTACTGACCACCAATGTAAGGAGCATTCTTCTCACTGACCACCAATGTAAGGCATATTCTTCCCACTGATCTCCAATAAAAGGAGCATTCTTCCTGCTGATCCCAATATAAGGAGCATTCTTCCCATCAGCCCCCATATTGAGGAGTATTATTCCCACTTACCCCCACTATTGTGAGCATTTATACCACTGAGCACCAATGTAAGGAGCATTTTTCCAACAGACCCCCAATGTAAGAATCATTCTTCTCACTGACGACCATTGAAAGGAGAATGCTTCCCACTGGCCACCAATAAAAGTAGAATTCTTTCCACTGACCACCAATGAAAAGAGAACACTTCCCAATGACCATCAATGTAAGGAGCATTCTTCAGACTGACCACCAATGTAAAGAGCATTCTTCTCACTGACGACTAATGAAAGTAGAATGCTTCCAACTGGCCACCAATAAAAGTAGAATTCTTCCCAAGGGCACCAATGAAAAGAGAATTCTTCCCACTGACAATCAATGTAAGGAGCAGGGGTGGACTGACAACTCATGGGGCCCCAGGGCAATAGGGGATCATGGGGCCCCTGTGTCCTCGCCCACACTCAAACCACACACAAAAAAATCCTATACCAGGGGCATCTCATGGGGCCCCCTACTGACCCCGGGCCCTCGGGCAGTGCCCGAGTTCCCAAATGGTCAGTCCGCCCCTGGTAAGGAGCATTCTTCAGACTGACCACCAATGGGAGGAGCATTCTTCCCATTGACTACACTTAGGTACTCTTTCTAAGTAAGCCTCGTTCCTCATTCTTATTAGATCTACAGGTTACAATTCACACGAATGTACTGTGAGCTGCTGTGCGTAGATATAGCCATTCTTTGAAGGGGTTCCCTGAGACCTAAAAGTTATTTCAAGAGTTCCTCCATATCAAAAAGGTTGGGAATGGCCACTTTTGTTCTTATTCTTCAAAGACAAATTTAGCATTTTCCAACGATGCAGGTTTAAATATCCACTGCCTAATGAATAAGATGGAACCGTTCCGTGAATGTACTCCAAAAAGTAGTAAAAAAAAGCTGCTAGATACTGAATTAGCCAGTTCTTTATGGTTTCCAGAAATGTTTGATTAAGCTCTACCTTCCAGCCATCCTTCTGCCCAATATAATCATCCATGTTGGCCCCTGAGACACCCTGGTTGTATGAGGAGAGATGGTGGGTGGACAGTACGTAGTGCTTAGTGCCACGCCTAAAGTGGATCTTCACTTCCTCTTTTTTTTTTCTCTCTTAAAAAAAACATGCACACCCAATGAATCCATTGGTGTTCTGCAGGGATCCGCCACTCCACTGCTGCGCACTGGTACAATGCCACCATCTTCTTGTTTTGCTTCTTCAGGAGCTGGCTGTCTCTTCCGAGTTTTTGCAGCAAGCCCACTGGCAATGCACATGCACCACAGTGCATCATCAGGGGACTGGTTGCAAGAACCAGAAAGAGACAGCCTTCACCATGCTGATGTGCAGCAGCACATATGCTGCAGAGTAGCCCAAGGCCTCCAGGGATGCGTGATGTGAGTATCCCAGGAGGCTACGGGCAACTGAATATGTCATTCTCAACTAGATGAGAATCCAGAAAGTACAGAGAGGACTCCCCAAAAAAGGTGCTGAAACAACAAAAAAAATGTGCAATAGGGAAAAAGAACGAGGATTAGAGTAAAGTGGTAGAACTGGGTGAGAGGTTGAAGGTCAATGCCAACAATCTGGAAATTTGAACCCTTACTCACTAAAGGAAATCAGTCTAAAAAGGTAGAACAAAAAAAGCTTTATTTTTGGCCTACAGAAATATTGACAGACACCTTTTGTGGAATAGACTCCCTCAAGAGTTGGTTCTGACCAGCTCAGTGGATTGCTGTAGGAAAGTCCTGGATTCTTTCTTAGATACACAGAATATAACTGGATATAACATTTATAGGGAAAGTTGATCCAGGGAATATCCGATTGCCTCTCGGGGGATCAGGAAGGAATTTTTTCCCGGCAGGAGCAAATTGGATCGTGCTTTGCTGGTTTTTTTTTGCCTTCCTCTGGATCAACTGTGGGTGTAGGTGTAACGGAACCGGACTCCGACTGCACTTGGGTATTTCCGTTAGACTCCCGCTTCCCTGTCCGAACACAGATCCACGGACACCACTGCTGGCCATACAAGACGAAACAACACCAGACTTGTATCAAAACAGGAAATAGACTGCTTTATTTTAACACAGACACAAGATATATAGACAGGGCGGGGCAATACATTTAATAACAAGAGACAAACAGCAGACACCCCCCCACCAAGCCAATACACATAAACACATACATCCCATAATAGTTTTCTGGCCAGCAAGACACAATAGAACAATGGGACCATATGGCAGTAAACAATGAACAACCCCCCCACCCCCACCTATACATGTCTACACAATATCAGGACAGACCACCCTGTACCCCTAACAGGCACAGGGTGACTTACACATAATAGGGATATGAGGAGCTGAGACAGGGGTCTCCCCACCTCTCCAAAGGGGGCTGTGTTCCATGGGCCCCTCACCCAATGTGACTCCCGTCACACACATATATATGTGTGTGTGTGTGTATATATATATATATATATATAAAATACAGTTGCAAGAAAAAGTATGTGAACCCCTTGGGATTACGTGGAGTTTTGCATGAATTGGGCATAAAATATGCTCTGAACGTCATCTAAGTCACAACAATAGAAGAACACAGTCTGCTGAACATAATACTACACAAACATTAGATGTTGCCATGGTTTAATTGCACATAACATGTAAACATTCACAGTGCAGGGAGGAAAAAGTATGAGAGGCCCTAGCTTAATGACTTCTCCCAGAGCTAATTGGAGCCAGGAGTGAGCCAACCTTGGCTCCAATCAGTGTGATGATATTGGATGTGTTGCTGACAGCTGTCCTGCCCTTAAAAAACACACACCTGTTTTGGGTTTACTGGTTTCAAGAAGCACTGTCTGATGTGAACCATGCCTCGCAGAAAAGAGCTCTCAGAAGACCTACGATCAAGAATTATTGACTTGCATGAAGCTGGAAAGGGTTACAAAAGTATCTCCAAAAGCCTTGATGTTCATGTGCCCACGGTAAGACAGACTGTCTACAAATGGAGAAAGTTTAGCACTGTTGCTACTCTCCCTAGGCGTGGTCGTCCTGTAAAAATGACTGCAAGAGCACAGCGCAGAATGCTGCATGAGGTAAAGAAGAATCCCAGAGTGTCAGCTAAAGACCTACAGAAATCTCTGGCACATGCTAACATTTTTGTTGACACATCTACAATAAGGAAAACATTAAACAAGAATGGAGTACATGGGAGGACACCACGGAGGAAGCCATTGCTGTCCAAAAAGAATATTGCAGCACGTTTGAAGTTTGCAAAAGAGCACCTGGATGTTCCACAGCACTACTGGCAAAATATACTGTGGACAGATGGAACCAAGATTGAGTTGTTTGGGAAGAACACACAACACTATGTGTGGAGAAAAAAAGGCACAGCACACCAACATCAAAACCTCATCCCCACTGTAAAACATGGCGGAGGGAGCATCATGTTTTGGGGCTGCTTTGCTGCCTCACGGCCTGGACGGATTGTTGTCATTGATGGGAAAATTATTTCCAGAGTTTATCAAGACATTTTGCAGGAAAACGTACGACCATCTGTCCGCCAACTAAAGCTCCGCAGAGGATGGGCGATGCAACAGGACAATGACCCAAAGCATACAATTAATTCAACAAAACTATGGCTGCAACAGCACAGAATACACCTTCTGGAGTGGCCCAGTCAGAGTCCTGACCTCAACCCGATTGAAATGTTGTGGCATGACCTTAAGAGAACGATTCACACCAGACATCCCAAGAATATTGCTACACTGAAACAGTTTTGTGAAGAGGAGTGGTCCAAAATGACTCCAGATCGTTGTGCAGGTCTGATCTGCAACTACAGGAAACGTTTGGTTGAGGTTATTGCTGCCAAAGGAGGGTCAACCAGTTATTAAGTCCAAAGGTTCACATACTTTTTCCTCCCTGCACTGTGAATGTTTACATGTTATGTGCAATTAAACCATGGCAATATCTAATGTTTGTGTAGTATTATGTTCAGCAGACTGTGTTCTTCTATTGTTGTGACTTAGGTGACGTTCACAGCACATTTTATGCCCAATTCATGCAAAACTCCACGTAATCCCAAGGGGTTCACATACTTTTTCTTGCAACTGTATATGTATGTATGTGTGTGTGTATATATATATATATACATATATATATATATTTATTGAAATATATTTTGAAATATATTGAATATGGCTAAAAAAAAGTAGTATTTCACATATATGTCAATATATTTTGGGGAGAATATTTAAAAAATATATTTGTCTTCCATGTGGGTTACCACCTTCCATTAGCTGCCAGTCCCAATAATCCAGACATCCTAGTCAAATACCTCTATACCCCCCCGATAACATCAAGATCACGCGCTATCCTTCCAAATACCTTTCCCAAGTCTTTAATTATCTTATGATAGGGGGCTGTGTTCCATGGACCCCCCACCCAAAATGACTCCCGTCACAGTAGGATTATACATTTTTTTTTTATGGTTGAACTGGATGGACTTTTGTCTTTTTTCAGCCAGACTAACTATGTAACTATGTAACCTTTTAATGTCCACTATTAGACAGTACTTGTAAAAGTTGGCTGACAGGGTCTCTTTAATAAATTATTTATATGAAGTTCATATTGTAAGTTGTAACCTGCTGAATATTGTTATAGTTGAAACTCTGCCAAACGCTACTTGTTCTTAGAATTCCCCTTGTACCATTTTTATTTCACTCGGAAAAAAAAAAAAAAAAATCTTGAACTACTAGCACAATATCATTGCCTATTTTTAGGACGCTAGACATCTGAAAATAAAAAAGATCCCTCCTGAATGTGTATGTAATTTTCACGCCTTTGTTGAAGAATGAAACCGTGTACTCCTGGAAGAGACAAAAAAAAAAAAAAAAGAGAGAGAAAGAATTTGCAGCTCCAGAAGCAAAAAATGGTTTACTCAAATTGATTTCTGAAGATACTACAGAGAAAATTAATAAGAGGATATATTTTAATGCCAGACTTAAAGAAAGAGGGAAAAGGGAACTTGGATAGAGACAGTAATTCAAGTTTTATGTGGAGTGCAATCCTAAAAAAAAGGTACTTTCCAAGATTACAATCTGGATTGTTTGAAACCTTCTCAGTGTAGTGACGGAAATATACAGCGCGGACGCTGCCTAAGAAATTCAATTTCTATTCTGCAGTCGAAATCACATAGCTCAGGTGTACAAAAAAATGAATTAGATTAACATTTCTCACATTGCGTCTTGCACTGAGAATATGCTACTGCTATGACAGCCATAGGACAGGATCATAAAATTGCTGACCTTCGAAGATTTTTAAAGTTGATGTCTAATCTTGCGCCTTTAGCTCTCATTAAAGGGGGACATTTTTCAACAGATGGAACCTTCTTGGGTGAAACAAAAAGATTCTTTTTGTTTCAAGCCACATTTTGGTCAGTGATAC